CAACCGGATGTTAGATCCTCCGGAGCCTGAGGCAAGCAAGAAATGAGATAGCATGCACAAGCAAAGCGCATGTCGCCGAAAACCCTGCCAATGATGGTCGCCGCGGTCACCGGGATCAGAAAACCGATGAACCAAGTTGGGGATGTCCAATGCTCTATCGACGATCAAAGATCGAGCGTCATGCATAGTGAGACCGCATATCCGTCCTAAGGCTTGGATGTGGCCAAAGCGGAATTGTGGCAAAATCTCTTCCTCGCGTTCGGATTCCATCAAAGCTTGGAAGTCTTCGAAAGTAGGACATATTTCTTAATCGGATTCCAAAACCTTGCCGCGGCATGAAGGAACGGAAGACGCAGCGGGGTGCGACTCAGCGTAAATAGTGCATTTATGCCGAAGCCCCAGAAATTCACCCTTTCCGAGCCATCCAAGGTAGCTATCCAATTTGTGAGATTTTGGACAAGAAATGCCTCCATATTGGTGCAAAACTGAGTTAGAATGAGGGAACCACGAAGTTGGAACCTTTATGGAGGATAAGGCACTGTTTGGAAGACAAGTGTCAGAAAACTGGAGGTCCCCAGGAAAACTGTTCGGCCGACCACTTTTTCTAGTCGGCCAACCAATTTTTCTGGTCGGCTAGCTACCTTCTTGGTTTGCAGAACAAAAAACTGGTCGGCCAGCCCTTTTAGTGGTCGGCCATGAGCAAAAAATGGTCTGCAGCCTTTTCCTTGTCTCCAGAAGAGAATCTCTAACTTCCCTGTGTGCTGAGAGTGCTGAAGGTTCGAGTTTACCTTTGTTTCGGATGTGTTTCGTCGCCTTGTTTGTCTAAAATGCATTTACTTATCGAGTTGTTGCTCATTTGCTTATCGAGCTGTTGCTCATTTGTTTATCGAGTTGTTGCTCATTTGGTTATCGAGTTGTTGCTTATTTGTTTATCGAGTTGTCAATTCGTTTAATGAATTGTTTTTTAGTTGAGTTGTTTAGTTTGTTACGTCGGTTCACTACCTAACTTGGCAATACACGATGTCCAATTTTCATTCAATCCCATTTTTGTGCAAAATGATGCGATGCGATGAGATGCTCAGAATACAAATACAACACTTTTTGAACAAAAAGCTGTTTTCATTCCATCATGTTCTCTTTTTACAACATTTTATAATAGGGTACAAGTTTTGAAGAAAATAAAACTGCCTAAAGCTGTACAATGTGCTACAACTGCATGTAGAAAGAAAAATAAAGCAGGAACATCTATATCAGTGTTATCAAGCTCAAGACCAAGAGGCTCTCTTCGCCCTCTTCGACTGAGTAGCCTCCGCGCCACCATCGTCGGCATCTCCGTCTGACTCAGAGCCGCCATCCTCGGAAGCCTTCTCGGTGTCGCCTCTGTCCTCAGAACCGGAACCAGAGTCCTCATCTCTGCCTGCAAATGTCTCTGACTGAGGATGCACTGACTCTTCCTCCTCGCTGGACTCCTTATCATGACTGATAGGTGCTCTACGCCTCCCTCGGCCGAGAGTCGGGTTCCCTCTCACAGCTGCTCGAGAAGGCCGTGATGGCGCATGTTGTACATGTGCGACCTGAAAAGACAGTTTGAGTACATCAGCCAGATTATGTATATTACATGCAAGAATGATGCATGGAGTGAGTGCATGCAGATATAGTATGTGAATGTGGTGTGTTAGATGTGCTTTACACATGCAGTGAATCAGTATGGTGAAGTGTTCAGTTTCAGTATGTCATCAGATGTATGATAAATGCAAGGAGACTGGAAAATACCGGGATACTGTAAAAGTGCAGCAGTGTCTCCCTCCGCAAGACTATGCCCTCGAGTGAGGCCACCACCCCGAGCAACCCATCAGTATACTCTCTGGGAGGCTGCAGACATAAGTTTAAGTCATCAGTGAATGAATGAATGTCTAAATATCTGAATGATAAATGAAAAATCGTGGAGCATACCAGTGGTGAGTTAGGATCACTGACATATCGATGATCCGCCAACGGAGGCTTTAGCGGAATCTGGTATGGTGTCCCATACTGCTAACCTGTCAGCTCGGCCGGAAGATCTGGCCACCCGATACACTGCTAAGTCGAGGGCATCCCTCTAGACCCGCCCCTCAATGTGCCGGCCCCGCTGGTCGAATGAATGTCTCCAGCTCGGGCGTGACTCGAGGAAGGCATGTTAACAGCTCCCCTCCTGGGGGTACGGACACCTGTCAGTGGAGGCATCAGGTATGTATGGCGATATGTCGCATAATCCCCCTCCTCTAGGAAAAGAACTACGTCAACACCCAACATAAGGTCCTTGACCTCCCGGGGAGTGAGCTTCTCCGTGGACCGCATGTCCAGTGGAGGCGCTGAGGGGATCTCCTGTTCGGGGTTTCCCATCATCTAGCGCATGAAGCGATCTTCGAGAAACTAGGCCCTACTGACTGGTCCCTCAAGCAGAATCCTGTATCGGGAGGCGCCCTATGCCCCAGCGAACTGGAACCGAGCATACCCTGGCATGTCAAGCTAAGGCTGCCAAGTGATCTGCGGATAGCAAGTGCATAAACTAATTAGATGTCATAAGTATGCAAGATGAATCAAAGCTGAGAGCATGAAGAACTGAGGGTTTTGAATTACCTCTGTCGCCCGTACAGTGTCGAAGAATTGCCGGAGATAGGGTAGAGTCTCTCGGGGCCTGGGCCGGCACCGACTCTCAAATCTATGTGAATAAGGGATCTCAAGAGGTGCCTCGACCACGAGCTTAGGGGCCAGTGTCGGGAAGTATGTGTAAACCCACAGCTGTGAAAGGCAAGGCAGTGGCTGTCAGAATACAGAATGTATAGAAAATGCAGAATGCTGAGTGTGGAATGCAGAGTACAGAATGTAATATGTGCAATGTGTGAAGTGTGTAGTGTACAGACAATGAAAAGCAGAAATGTAAATCAATAGGGCAGAATGTACCTCCCATGCTCGCCAGTAGCCTCCAACTATGGTCCCCCGCTCGCGGGAGGTCGCCCTCATGTAGCAGTAAAGGGTAGCGAGGGCAGCGCCACCCCAATCAAAGTGTCGGACCTGTGATAGGTCCACCAGAGCATTGAGAAGATATAGCCCAACTGTGTTCCCCCTGTTGGAGAACAGTGTGGTCCCAAGGAGGAACATCAAAAATCCCCAGGTATACTGCTATACAGCCTCAAAGGTCTCAGGCATAGACCTCCGGTACTGCTCGGCGAACCAGGTGTACCTGACCCTGCCTGATGATCTGTTGATCGGCGGATGGGCTCCGAGCAGATAAATCCAAGTGGCCTCCCACTCGCCCATATCTTCATCGTATGGGATCGGCCGGCCTGCCACGTCAAGGCCCGTCAGTATAGAGAAGTCATATGGGGTCATCGTCATGTCCCCGGTGGCTGAAAAATGGAAAGAGTTAGTGGTGTCCCACCATCTCTCTACAAGTGTGCCCAGGAGGGTCCTACTCGCTGGATGACGTGACAATCCCACACAGAATGGGCCAAACCCTGCCTTATCCACAATATGTCGGACAGTATCTGGGAGCTCCATATACCACTCCCTCGCAATGATTGATCCGTAACCCCGTGTGAAACGGGAAGATACCTACATTCAGAATGAACAGAGGTATTCAGTTTCAGAATGAAAAGTACGAGCTGCATGTTCAAAGTGAAAAGTATAAGCTGTGTGTTCAAAACGAAAACTACGAGCTGCGTGTTCAATGTGAAAAGTATGAGCTATGTGTTCAGAATGAAAAGTATGAGCTGTGTGTTCAAAATGAAAAGTATGAGCTGTGTGTTCAGAATGAAAACTATGAGTTGCATGCAAAATGAACCGAACGCCGTGTTATGAACAGTGTGTTCAGATTGAGCAGTGTGCTATGTTATGAAAAAGAATACTGTGTTATGAACTGTGTGCTCAGATTGAACAGTGTGCTATGTTATGAAAAAGAATACTGTGTTATGAACTGCGTGTTCAGATTGAGCAGTGTGCTATGTTATGAAAAAGTGTACTGTGCTATGAACTATGTGTTCAGATTGAGCAGTGTGCTATGTTATGAAAAAGAATACTGTGTTATGAACTGTGTGTTCAGACTGAGCAGTGTGCTATGTTATGAAAAAGTATATCGTGTTATGAACTGCGTGTTCAGATTGAGCGGTGTGCTATGTTATGACAATAAACCGAATACTGTGTTATGAACTGCGTGTTCAGATTGAGCAGTGTGCTATGTTATGAAATAGTATATCGTGTTATGAACTGCGTGTTCATGTTATGACAATAAACCGAATACTGTGTTATGAACTGCGTGTTCAGATTGAGCAGTGTGCTATGTTATGAAATAGTATATCGTGTTATGAACTGCGTGTTCAGATTGAGCAGTGTGCTATGTTATGAAAAAGTATATCGTGTTATGAACTGTGTGTTCAGATTGAACGGTGTGCTATGTTATGACAATAAACCGAATATTGTGTTATGAACTACGTGTTCAGATTGAGCAGTGTGGTATGTTATGAAAAAGTATATCGTGTTATGAACTACGTGTTCAGATTGAGCGGTGTGCTATGTTATGACAATAAATCGAATACTGTGTTATGAACTACGTGTTCAGATTGAGCGGTGTGCTATGTTATGAAAAAGTATATTGTGTTATGAACTGCATGTTCAGATTGAGTGGTGTGCTATGTTATGACAATAAACCGAATACTGTGTTATGAACTGGGTGTTCAGATTGAGCAGTGTGCTATGTTATGGAAAAGTATATCGTGTTATGAACTGCGTGTTCAGATTGAGCGGTGTGCTATGTTATGACAATAAACCGAATACTGTGTTATGAACTGCGTGTTCAAATTGAGAGGTGTGCTATGTTACTAAAAAGAATTATGTGTTATGAACTAAAACCCCCTACGGACTGCATCTTCGGTGGAGGCAGTGAGGGGACATCTTGATCGGAGTTGCCCATCGTCTGGCACATGAAGTGCTCTCCGAAGAACCAGGCTCTACCAATCGGTCCCTCAAGCAAAACCCTGTATCGCGAGGTACCCCATGCCCCAACAAACAGAAATCGAGGATTCCCTGGCATGGCTATCCAAGGCTGCCAGGTGATCTGCGAATAACAAGTGCATAAACTAATTAGATGTCATAAATATGCAAGATAAATCAAAG